TGCTCCCTGACAGGAGGAGAACATCTGAAGAGGTAAGACTTAAATGTGTACCAAGTGTGTATTTATTTTTTCAGATGTGGATCACCTTATTTGAAGTTAGAAGACTTGCCTTATTCAGTCTGTTCAAACCGTGTTCAGGGTTGTTTGAGACGTATGCTATTGCGTCCTTTGTTTCCATAACAACAAGTGTTAACTTTGTCAGCTGACTGTAACGTTACAGTCGCCTGCCTGCTTCTTTTTGCATGTTCAACAATCTGATACACAGTTTTGTCTTGGCTTCTTTCGTCTATTGACTCTTTTATACACACCATGCTCTCGCAGTCATTATGAACAAAGAGACTTTTCAAAATAATGAAATAAATTATTCCTCCTCTACCAGTGAGAGAATACAAAAAGCAAACGTCTTACTTGATTTTGGCCTATTTTTGTTAAAGTGGGCATTGAGCTTTGCTACAGATCATCTACAGTGATTAATCTATCTGCCATCCATATACCACCTAACTGTAGTAAAACTATAAATACTCTAAAACAAAACGCATAGCATAGAGAATGGGCTTCTATTTTTGTTTTTTTTGTTTGTTTTTATTCTCAAATCCTTCATCTACACTGCCACTTAAGATTCTTAACTATTTAGATTCTTCCTGGGCATAACATCTCACTAAGTCACAATAATTTGCTTTGTTTTTTCTGTGTGTAGCCAAGACAGAGAGAAGTATTGGTGATCATGTTGTTTTTTCACAACTTGTCTACTCTGTCGGTTTAGTGACTTTAAATCGTCTAAAATGTTACCCTCTTGGTGTCACTGTTACATTAATATGGCCACAAATGACGTAGTCCCTCCCCTAACAAAGCTTTTGTTTGGTACCTCACAGCACATAAGATGTAAGGGTGTGAGTCGGATGAGACGGTTTACCGTGTTTTCTAAACATGCGACATTAAACGGCTCGGGCATATTCATTTGATTTTCTTCAGAAACAGGGTCCTGTGTGTATGTGTGTTCTTGGACAAAGATGGGAAGCGAAAGACGGTTCCGATCTAATAACCATCGGTTTGCTTTTCATTTTTTCTTAATACTGTTTTTCGGAAAGCAGACTGTGGCAGAATTGAGATACTCTATTCCAGAGGAGATGAAAGAAGGAACCGTGGTGGGAAATGTTGCCAAAGATCTTGGTCTAGACAAAACCTATTTGGTTGATCGCCGATTCCGTGTTGTGTCTGGATCTAAGGACGCCTTTTTCGAGGTAAATCCGGACAACGGTGCTTTACAGGTCAATAAGAAAATCGACAGAGAGGGGCTTTGCCTGGGAAGTGGTGCGTGTTTAATGGAGCTGAAAATCCTTGTTGAAAATCCATTGGAAATACACTATGTAGTTGTGGAAATTACTGATGTAAATGATCACTCCCCTAGTTTTTCCGAAAAGGTTCAGACATTTGAAATAGGAGAGCAGTCATCTCCGGGAACAAGATTCGAGCTGCATGCGGCCCGTGATCCGGATGCTGGAATGAACTCTATCCGCACATATATGTTAACATCAAATGATCACTTTGAAATAGAAATTATTCAAAGCGATGAAGATAAAATACCATTTTTAGTGTTGAAGAAGTCGTTGGACAGAGAACAAAAGGATAAACACTTGTTATTTGTTACAGCAGTTGATGGAGGTAAACCTCCAAGATCAGGCACACTAAATGTTTCTATTACTGTTCTTGATATAAATGATAACCGTCCAATGTTTAGTCAGAACAATTACCAAACAGAAATATATGAAAACGTCTCAGTTGGAACTACTGTTACAAAAGTGGATGCAACAGATCCAGACGAAGGGCCGAACGGGGAAATAGAGTACAGCCTCAGCAAAACATTAGCACGTAAAGTCTACGAGATATTCGAATTAGATAGTTTAAGCGGACAAATTACATTGAAAGGATCACTGGATTTTGAGGAAGCGGACATTTATAAACTAGATGTTCAGGCATCAGACAAAGGAACGCCACCATTAACAAGCAGATGTAGAGTTATAGTAAAGATAAAAGACGTCAATGATAATCCGCCTGAAATAGAAGTAACATCACTGTCAAATACAGTGTCTGAAGACTCGAAGCCTGGCACAGTTATTTCACTTATTAGTGTGACGGATAACGACTCTGGAATAAATGGAAAAATTATTTCCAGCATAACCGAAAAAGTTCCGTTTGAATTAAAACCTTCTTATAAGGAAAACACATATTCACTTGTGACTAGGGAGGTTTTAGATCGAGAGCAGGTGCCACAGTATGACATCACAATAAAAGCCACGGACTGCGGTGAGCCGCCAATATCAACTTTCAAAACTCTAAACATTCAGATATCAGATGTAAACGACAACAGTCCACATTTCGACCAAAGTCCAATACAGTTTTACCTGGTAGAAAATAACGTTGCTGGAAAGTCCATATTCTCTATAAGCGCAACAGACAATGATATTAACGAAAATGCAGCTGTTACATATCACATTCTTAGAGGAGGGAGTGATAATGATTTAACGCCATCTTTCCTAAACATCAATTCAGATAATGGACAGATTTCAGCACTAAAGAGTTTTGACTTTGAAACAGTGAAAACTTTCCAGTTCAGAGTTGTTGCGTCAGATTCTGGAACTCCATCACTGAGCAGCAATGTCACAGTGAACGTGTTCATTCTGGATCAGAACGACAACGCTCCAGTCATCCTGTATCCAGTCAGCTCTAACGGTTCTGTTGAAGGTGTGGAGGAGATTCCCCGCAACGTGAACGCAGGACACTTGGTGACTAAAGTCAGAGCCTATGACGCTGATATAGGATATAACGGCTGGTTACTGTTTTCACTGCAGGAAGTTACTGACCACAGTCTCTTTGGTTTGGACCGCTATACAGGACAGATCAGAACACTTCGCTCATTCACAGAGACAGACGAGGCTGAGCATAAACTGGTCATACTGGTCAAAGACAATGGCAACGTTTCACTCTCAGCAACAGCTACTGTGATTGTCAAACTTGTGGAGCCCAAAGAGGCTTTTGCAGCTTCTGATGTGAAAAGTTCAGCAAAAGCAGATGAGGATAATAATGTGACATTTTACCTGATGATAACTTTGGGCTCAGTTTCAGCACTTTTTCTCATCAGTATCATCGTGCTGATTGCAATGCAGTGCTCAAAATCCACAGACTATACTTCTAAATATCTACAAGAGACTAACTATGATGGGACGCTGTGTCACAGCATCCAGTACAGATCTGGAGACAAACGGTACATGTTAGTTGGACCCAGAATGAGTATAGGATCTACTATAGTCCCGGGAAGCCATGCGAATACACTAGTGCTCCCTGACAGGAGGAGAACATCTGAAGAGGTAAGCTGGTTTATTTTAACGGCTTAATTGGCTTTTTTAGGGTAGTAATAGCAAATACCCTTTTCTTCTTTTTGTGAGGTAGAGATGTCCATTTTGGGGGAATGGCTCGAGTCTGAGTCACAATGTCGCTATCCATTGTGCTGAAACTGCTTTGACCTTTGTTTGATTGTGTTATAAAGCCACAATATATAGTTTTTACACTGTGTATGCATCTTGGTGAAATCACCAGTATTATTTCAAAATCTGTCATATTTGTGGAGGAACAAACTAACTGGAAAGTGATCACTTGGTGTCAGTATGTGAGCAGAAAAGTGTTTGAAGAGAAGCCTTTTGTTACAGATAAGGGTCCTCCCCTTTGTGGGATGGGTTTTCACATTTTAGAACTGGATGCATCCTTTACAGTCACAGCGAATATTTAGCATCTGCGATTTGGATAAAACGCTCCAAACTGTTTATGATATTTTAGGCGTATCTATTTTTTCATTTTATCACGGAGTTGTTATTCTGAATTATTGGGATTAATTTTTATCTGCTCGTCATGGAGCAGAAAAGACATGGAGCATCGAGGGAGCAATGGCGGGGGATTGCTTTCATTGTTTTATTAATTTTGCAGTGGAGCAGAGCTTCGGCGCAGATCAGATATTCCATCGCCGAGGAAGTTAAAGAAGGAACTGTTGTTGGGAATATAGCCAAAGATTTGGGATTGGAGACGAACGCTCTGAAAGAGCGAGGATGTCGTATTGTTGAGGGTTCAACAGAGTCATTTTTTCATGTAAACCAGAATGATGGGATATTGTATGTGGGCCGAATAATTGACAGAGAGAAGGTCTGTGAACGGAGCAGTGTGTGCTTGATCAACCTAAAAACTGTGCTGGAAAACCCTCTTGAAATTCATTATGTGACCGTAGAGGTGCTGGATGTGAACGACCATTCTCCCAGCTTCTCCACGAAAGAGTCGCGGCTCGAAATTTCAGAATCAGTTTTACCAGGTTTGCGCCTACACCTGCAAGCAGCACCTAATGATCATTTTCGTTTAGAAGTCAAAGATCGTGGAAAAGATGGGAAAATACCAATATTAGTTTTACTAAAGACGCTAGATAGGGAAAAAAAGAAAAGCCATAAATTGCTTCTGACAGCTATTGATGGAGGCAAACCAAGTAAATCTGGAACAACTCAGCTGTTTGTTGACGTCTTAGATGTTAATGATAATATGCCTGTTTTCAACGAAGAAACGTACTCAGTGCGTTTAGAAGAAAATGCTCCAATTGGCACAACAATTATACAAGTTAATGCCTCTGATTTAGACGAAGGATCCAATGGTGAGATTATCTATTCGTTAGGAAAAAATGTGAATAGCAGAATACGTGAACTGTTTCGTGTAGATTCAAATACAGGTGAAATTATTGTTCAAGATCTGATAGACTTTGAATCAGAGGAAAGTTATCAGATTGATATACAGGCGTCTGATAAAGGATCAGCTCCTTTAAGGACAGATAAAAGTGTGTCTGTGAATATTGTTGATTTGAATGATAACACCCCGCAGATAGAGGTTACGTCATTTTCAAGGGCAATACCAGAGGATGCAAGACTGGGAACCACTGTGGCATTAATCAGTGTCTTTGATAAAGACTCTGGTCTTAACGGGAAAGTTATTTGCTCATTTAATGAGGATGTCCCTTTCACATTATCGCCTTCAACGCAGGATAACATGTATTCTATAGTCACGAAATCGCCTTTGGATAGAGAGAAGCAATCCATATATGATGTTACAATTGTTGCAAAAGATGCAGGTGTACCATCGTTGTCTTCTGAAAAAGGCATTACTATTGTTATATCAGATGTGAATGATAACAGTCCAGAGTTTTCAGCGAGCCCTTACACATATTATGTTACAGAGAACAACTCTCCAGGAGCTTCACTGTTTTCTGTGAGGGCATCAGACCATGACGAGGGCGATAATTCTCGTATCTTATATCATATGCTGAGAGATGGAAAAGAAAATACTAAAATAAATTCATTCAATTTAAACATAAACTCTGATAATGGAGACATTATGGCGCTAAAAATTTTTGACTTTGAAACACTGAAAACTTTCCAATTCCACGTTGTTGCCTCAGATTCTGGAACTCCGTCACTAAGCAGCAACGTCACAGTGAACGTGTTCATTCTGGATCAGAACGACAACGCTCCAGTCATCCTGTATCCAGTCAGCTCTAATGGTTCTGCTGAAGGTGTGGAGGAGATTCCCCGCAACGTGAACGCAGGACACTTGGTGACTAAAGTCAGAGCCTATGACGCTGATATAGGATATAACGGCTGGTTACTGTTTTCACTGCAGGAAGTTACTGACCACAGTCTCTTTGGTTTGGACCGCTATACAGGACAGATCAGAACACTTCGCTCATTCACAGAGACAGACGAGGCTGAGCATAAACTGGTCATACTGGTCAAAGACAATGGGAACGTTTCACTCTCAGCAACAGCTACTGTGATTGTCAAACTTGTGGAGCCCAAAGAAGCTTTTGCAGCTTCTGATGTGAAAAGTTCAGCAAAAGCAGATGAGGAAAATAATGTGACTTTTTACCTGATGATAACTTTGGGCTCAGTTTCAGCACTTTTTCTCATCAGTATCATCGTGCTGATTGCAATGCAGTGCTCAAAATCCACAGACTATACTTCTAAATATCTACAAGAGCCTAATTATGATGGAACACTGTGTCACAGCATCCAGTACAGATCTGGAGACAAACGCTACATGTTAGTTGGACCCAGAATGAGTATAGGATCTACTATAGTCCCGGGCAGCCATGCGAATACACTAGTGCTCCCTGACAGGAGGAGAACATCTGAGGAGGTGAGTAAATATTTAAATTTGCTATCTATTCTATCTTAAGGATCACTTTTGTCTTTGGCAGTTGTACTGAAATTGGATTTAAACTTAACCAACAAGAGAAACCTTCTCACTCAAAGCAATACAACGTATGATTTTTAGTATTGACCAGTTTAAGGCGATAAATGCACCATCACGCATATTCACAAGGTGGCAGTACCTTATCATTATAACGCCTAATAGCGTCTCAGAGTAGGATACACAGTCCGCCCCTACTACGTTCAGTCCGGTTAGACAACATTTCGCTGGCAGACTCTGAATAAGCGCACGGTGGATACAAATCGGTGACTGTTTTTGTCACCGTGACTGTTTTTGTATTTTGTAAATTACATTCCCAGGAGAGGTGAATCTATTTCTTGCTGTGATGGACACAGAAATCTAGACAAGTGGACAATGATGGACGCGTTTGGATTCGTAAATTCACCTCAAATTATGAAACAAAGAGGACGGGACTCATGGCGACTACGATCACCATTGCTCACCGGTTTGGTTTTACTTTTATTTTTCACAGCAACCTCGGCACAACTGAGATACTCTATATCCGAAGAACTCAAAGAGGGGAGTTTTGTTGGGAATATAGCTAAAGATTTGGGAATAGACCTCAGTATAATGAAGCGCAGGGGATTTCGTATTATGTCCGGCTCGGGTGAACCACTTTTTAAGGTAAATGAGAATGACGGAGTCCTTTATGCGAACCATAAAGTAGACCGTGAAGAAGTATGTAAGGAGAGCACTGTTTGTTTAATCAACCTCAAAACTGTTCTCGAAAACCCACTAGAAGTACATTATGTCACCGTGGAGATAATGGATTTAAACGACCACTCTCCCACATTTCCAGAAAAAACAAAAAGGCTCGAGATCTCAGAGTCTGCATTGCCCGGAGCAAAATATCAGTTACAAAATGCCCATGACCCGGATGGTGGCACAAACTCTGTCCAGCAGTATAAAATCAGTCAGAATGACCATTTTCGTTTAGAGATTAAAGATCGAGGAAGAGATGGTAAAACTCCGATTTTACAATTACAGAGGCAACTAGACAGAGAGGCAAAAAGTAACCATAAATTGCTGTTGACAGCTATAGATGGCGGAAACCCGCCAAAAACAGGCACAGTTGAAATATATATAGATGTTCTGGATGTTAATGACAATATGCCAGTATTCACCAAAGACACATATTCAGCAGTGCTACAAGAGAACGCCCCAATTGGCACAACCGTCATCCAAGTTAACGCAACCGATTTGGACGAGGGGACCAACGGAGAAGTGGTTTATTCATTTGGCAGTGATGTAAAAGGTAAAATTCGAGAACTGTTTGATATTGACACCGTCACTGGGGAAATCACTGTGAAAGGTCGTGTAGACTTTGAGGAACAAGACAGCTATGACATTGATGTTCAGGCCTCTGATAAAGGAAACATTCCATTCAGAACAGATAAAAGTGTTATCATTAAAATTGGAGATACAAACGATAATGCTCCTGAGATAGAGGTGGCATCATTGTCAAGTGCAGTTTCAGAGGACTCTAGACCAGGAACAACCGTAGCTCTCATCAGCATTACCGATTCAGATTCTGGCATGAACGGAAAAATAATTAGCTATGTCGCCGAAGAAAGTCCCTTTACATTAACTCCATCAATACAGGATAACATGTTTGCTGTTGTGACTAAATCACTGCTTGACAGGGAACAACAATCAAGATATGATATTACAATAATCGCTAAAGACGCAGGTGAACCAGTCTTAACATCCGAAAAGACTATAAGCGTGTTTGTGTCAGATACGAATGATAACAGTCCGGAGTTTTCAATGAGCCCCTACAGTTTCTACATCACCGAAAATAACCCCCCAGGGGCCCCAGTTTTTTCTGTAAGAGCGTCTGATCGAGACGAAGGAGATAATGCACGTATTTCATATCATATTCTCAGGAATGCAGATCATGAAAATAAAGTGATATCATTTCTTAATATAAACTCTGATAATGGAGATGTTTTGGCGCTAAAAAGTTTTGACTTTGAAACACTGAAAACTTTCCACTTCCACGTTGTTGCGTCAGATTCTGGAACTCCGTCACTAAGCAGCAACGTCACGGTGAACGTGTTCATTCTGGATCAGAACGACAACGCTCCAGTCATCCTGTATCCAGTCAGCTCTAACGGTTCTGCTGAGGGTGTGGACGAGATTCCCCGCAACGTGAACGCAGGACACTTGGTGACTAAAGTCAGAGCCTATGACGCTGATATAGGATATAACGGCTGGTTACTGTTTTCACTGCAGGAAGTTACTGACCACAGTCTCTTTAGTTTGGACCGCTATACAGGACAGATCAGAACACTTCGCTCATTCACAGAGACAGACGAGGCTGAGCATAAACTGGTCATACTGGTCAAAGACAATGGGAACGTTTCACTCTCAGCAACAGCTACTGTGATTGTCAAACTTGTGGAGCCCAAAGAAGCTTTTGCAGCTTCTGATGTGAAAAGTTCAGCAAAAGCAGATGAGGAAAATAATGTGATTTTTTACCTGATGATAACTTTGGGCTCAGTTTCAGCACTTTTTCTCATCAGTATCATCGTGCTGATTGCAATGCAGTGCTCAAAATCCACAGACTATACTTCTAAATATCTACAAGAGACTAACTATGATGGAACACTTTGTCACAGCATCCAGTACAGATCTGGAGACAAACGGTACATGTTAGTTGGACCCAGAATGAGTATAGGGTCTACTATAGTCCCGGGCAGCCATGCAAATACACTAGTGCTTCCTGACAGGAGGAGAGCGTCTGAGGAGGTAAGATCAATACTTGACTTTCTCTTCCATAAGTGCAAATAACATAAGTTCAGATTTCTACATTTTGTGAAGTAAGCACTACTGACTTTCATTATGGCAGTCTTATAAAATAAATGGTAAGATATTGCTTTCATACAATTATCAGACTCCCCTTTTGCACATGAAATGAACCATTTGATAAAGCAAACTAGTTTTTGCTGTTTTGCTAAATTGTTTACTAGGAAATTTGCATACGAAGAAGATGCGGATGTAAACTGAGTAGTAATATACATGCAATCAAGGAGATTAAGTTAACTAGTTGTATCACAACTTCCGATGTCTGGTGCCCAGTGGTTTGACAGACGACTGGATTACATCTCTTCATTTAACTTCCTGCTAAATTAAAGACCATATGCGCCAGACTTTTTTTTTTTTTTTTGCAATTGCAGTCTTATCCATATTTTGTCTGAAAAATGCTCTAGTGGTTCAGCTGAGTGTAGACTGTCGCTTTCCGTGGTGCTGAAACAGTCTTAAGAAAGTCCCTCTCCATTTTTATGCCTGTCATACTTTCTTTTCCCGACAAAACCAGATACTCTCATTCAAACATCGGTAATAGAATGATAATAGTTAATGCATCTGTTAAAAGAAGGTGAATAGGTATCGTTGTCTCCTCTGTGCTTTATAAGTGAGGATATGGCAGGCTGCTTTCTTCATTTTTTTCAAAAACTTTCTTTTTAGTGCAAACAACACGTTTTTTAATACATGTTGCTATTATTTCAAATACACGACTGCACTACGATTATCGATCACTTGGTGTCGGTATAGTGACAAAAATGCTTCCACACTTTTTCGTCATAGCCAATAGACCCATCCCCTTCCTCTCAAACCATCACTGGCAGAGCCTTTTACGTGCTAAAGGTTTGAGCACACAATTTAGCTTGAAATAAATCTCATGCTCTTTTTTGAGAACGGTTAGATTATGACAACAAACGTGACTGAAGATCTTCATATTTAATATGGCGGTATAACTCTTTGAAATCTGTTTTATTTTAAATATTTCATCTTGTAATGGAACAAAGAGAGTGCCAGACATGGAGGGAGCGGAGAAAGTGGATTATCTACATGATGGTTTTGGTTACGTTATGGACCAGAGCTTCAGGACAAGTCCGATATTCTATCGCTGAGGAAGTGAAAGAAGGAACTGTTGTTGGAAATATCGCGAAGGATTTAGGTCTCGATAAGAGCACATTGAAGGAGAGGGGGTACCGTATTGTCTACAGCTCGACAGAGCCTCCTTTTCGAGTGAATCAGGACGACGGTATCTTATATGTGAACCGAAAGATTGACAGAGAGGAAGTGTGCGACCGCAGCAAGGTTTGTGTAATCGACTTAAAAACCGTGTTGGAAAACCCACTGGAGGTACACTATGTAGCAGTGGAGATTCTGGATATAAACGACCACGCACCGAGCTTCCCCGAAAGTACAAAGATGTTAGAGATTTTTGAATCTGCATTACCAGGAGCAAGATTTCAGTTACAAGCTGCACGTGATGCTGATAGTGGTTCGTTATCCGTTCAGCAGTATAAGTTGAGTCATAATGAACATTTTCGTTTGGAGGTGAAAGATCGTGGTGAGGACCGTAAAACTCCTAGTTTAGTTCTGCAAAAGACACTTGATAGAGAAACCGTTAAGACCCATGTGTTGCTTCTGACAGCCACTGATGGAGGAAAACCTCCAAGGTCCGGTAACATGACAATAACTGTTGATGTCTCTGACGTTAATGATAACCCTCCAGTTTTCACCCAGGACTCATATCACGTAGACTTAAAGGAAAATTCTCCTTTTGGCACGACTGTTATTTACGTAAATGCGACAGATATGGATGAAGGTTCAAATGGTGAAATTGTATATTCATTTGGCAATGACGTGGATACACGTGTACATAAGCGTTTTGATTTAAATCCAGTGACTGGAGTTATTACTGTAGCAGGGGCCATAGATTTTGAAGAGAGTGGCAGGTATGAAATTGATATTCAGGCATCAGACAAAGGTGCAGCTACACTGACAACAGACAAAACCGTCATTATAAACATTGTTGACGTAAACGACAATGCACCAGAGATTGAGGTGACATCCTTTTCACGTGCACTCCCAGAAGATTCAAAACCAGGAACCACAGTGGCGTTGATTAGTGTTAAGGATTCAGATTCTGGTCTCAATGGAAAAGTGATGTGTCACATAGGCCAAGGTCTTCCTTTTCTGCTCACTCCGTCTTTACAAAATAACATGTATTCTCTGGTAACCAAATCACTTTTGGATCGCGAGCAGCAATCGCAATATAATGTAACAATTGTCGCTAAAGACGCAGGCGAACCATCCTTATCATCAGACAAAACTATAAAAATTGTTGTGTCAGATGTGAACGACAATAATCCAGAGTTTTCACAGAACCCGTATACTTTCTATATAACTGAGAATAACAAACCAGGAGCG